GCCTTTAACCTCTCCTCGCTGCCCCCAGCTGTCCATCCTTATTGTCTCCATCTCCTGAAAACTAAATTTCCTCTTTCTTATGCCTCTTCGCATGCCTTCATCTCTGCCTAGTGTTTTATGGTCTGAGGGTTTCTTTTAGAGAGGATTTGACACCCTTGGGATTTTTGCACTTAACATTAGGGAGAGCCTTTACTCAAACCTGTTAGACTTCCCGAGACTGCTCCCTCCAACTAAAATGATAACAAAGTTTGGAGACAACATGAAGCTTCAATAGATGGCAGAACATGTTGGATATAATATTAAAATTCAAATTGTTAATTGAAAAAGACCCCAAACATATGGAATCAGACTCAATGAAGACAGAGTAGTAAATTTCATTTAGAAAGTAAAGAATTACACATAAACAAAATAGAGAATGATTGGATAGGTAGAAAAACATAAATTGCCAATTTTCCTGTTTCCGTTGAGTGCTGATAAAACCCTGAAGGCACAATTAAAGTGAGAGAGAAGAAAATCTGGATAGGCATCAGAGAAGAGCTATTTATGTGATTGATGGGCTGGAAAGTATTTAAGATAAACTTCAAAAAAAAAAAACAGATTGATCATCACAAAGGAGAGGATGCTGAAGGATAACTTTATGATCATCTTTAAATATACAAAGGATGAGCTATACTCGTGTTACAAAAGCCAGCTTACTGGGGACTGGAAAGCTGAGTGGTTGGAATTCCAAGTGTAAACTGCCCTTTCAAGACTTGATAGTGAAGGAAAGAGAGAAATGGCTCAGCCAGATTAGGAGAAGACTTTTTTTTTTTCCTTAAGTTAGATGTAGAGAAGGAGCCAGTGAAGAGGTAAAGATGGAAGGTGTTACACAGAAGGGTTAATGAGGACAGATCTCAGAAGAGGGAGCTGGTAATGGGATGAATGAATGAAGAAGCATACATTAAGCTAAGTGCCTGCAATGTTGTTAGCGCTAGGGGGATATAAATAGAAAGGCCGGAGAGTCACAAACAGATGAAAGGATTAACCTTGGCTAGGAGGATGACATCCTTCTCCAAAAACAGGAGGAAAGTCCTAAGGTGAATTTGGTAATGGAGGGGAGTTAAACGAGTTCACAGAGACGTGAAACTGCTAATTCACACAGGTGTGAAACATCTAGTACTAATTGGGTTAGAACCCATTGCAGTAGACCCTCTTGGCAGCTGGAATTTCACCTGGTGTGACCTAAGAAGACTGAAAGGTTCTTCCCACATAGGCTAACTTCTTTCTCCAAAGCAATGAAATCACCCTCAACTGCTGATGTCATTGCCCAGTTGACCAAATTGTAAAAGCTAAATATGTGAGCATTCTGAGTTCCTTAGGTTTGATAGAATTCCTTGTTTTAGAAATCACCACATCTTTCTTGACCAGTTGTACCATCATGGTAAATGTGAAGACCAGTGCTTGCGGTGCTGCTGTGTCCAACTTATTCTCAGTTCTGTCCTGACTGAGGAAGCTTTCGTTTGTTAAAGATTATGTGGTCTCACGTTCTAATCTTGAGACTTAACTACTTGATTGCCTTGAGGTCTGGCCCAAGAACATTTGGCCTTGACAGCAAGATTAGTTTGGAATAATCTCATGCCTGACAGAGTTGAAATGAGAAAAGTCAGTCCTGGGGTGGAGGAGCCACTACGGATTCGATGGCCTGATAATGAGAACCTGGAGCCCTGTGACCACTGGAGCTTGTGGCTGTATGGAATATACCCCATCACTGGGACAGGGAAGGACCTTTCACTGATCTGTGGGATTAGCCTGCTAGGTGGTTGAGGAGGTTGAGGAGGCGGTGGAACAATTTATGAATTTAATAATTACAGAGTAAAAGGGGGCATGATCGGCCCTTGGGGTGTGTTATAACCTTTTGGAAACGGGGGTGAAATATTTTGATATTAGCACTATTAGGGAAGAGAATAGAAGCAAGTGTGAGGATGAAAACTTCCAATTCATCTGGGTGGTAAGAAAGCCTTGGGCTTACTTTTCTACTCCCCCGCCCCCCAGGGTTCAGTAAAGTAAACAAGCATTTATTAAGGGCTTGTTGTTTGCCATTCACTATGCTAAGCATGGGGGATACAAGGAAAGGAAAACAAAATAAAAACACCAGTCCCTGCTCTCCAGGAACTTGCTGTCTAACGGGGAGATAACATGCAAAAAAAAAAATGTACAAACAAGATCTATCCTGTTTAAATTGGGGATAATAGCAAGATGATTTCCTTCGTGGGGGGGGGGAGGAGGGCGGTCAGGAAGTGGTGGGCTTCCTGAAGAACGTTGGCTTTGTTTCAGCTGAATCGTGAAAGGAGCCGGAAGGCAAAAAAGTGAGGGGGAAGAGTTCTGGGCTTGGAAATCAGCCAGTGAAAAGAAATAATGGGGAAGATGAGATGTCCACTTGTGTGTAAGGAACAGGAAAAAAGCCAGAGTCACTGGATCATATAGTATGTGGAGAGGAGTAAGGTGTAAGAAGACTGGAAAGGTAGGAAGGTTCTAAGTTGTGAAGGGCTTTCCATGCCTAACAACATTGTACATTTGATTCTAGAGGTGACAGGAAGCCGCTGGAGTTAATGAGGAGGCAGGTGATTTAGCGGATGCTTTGGAGCAGGGAGAGGCCAATTAAGAGGCTGTTGTAATAGTCCAAGTATGAGATGATAGAGCCCGTACAGTGTGGTGGCAGTGAGAGGGGACCTAGATGAGAGACACTGTGAGGCTAGAAACAAGAGTTGACAACAAGTTGTGTGTGTGGAATGAGTGTGAGAGGAATCAAGCGAGACGCCGAAGTCGGGAGTCTGCTTGACTGGGAGGGTGGCAGTGCTCTCGACAGCAGTAGGGAAATTTGGAAGAAGGGAAGGTTTGGGGTATAGAATAATGAGTTCGGTTTTAGACGTGTCTATGAGTCATCTAATTTGAGATGTCCAAAAGGCAATTTGGTGATATGAGACTGTGATTCAGGAGAGAGGTTAGATTTGTGAATCATATACATAATTAAACCCATAGGAGCTGATGAAATCACTGAGAGACTTGTATAGAGAAAGAAGAAAAGAGAGCCTAGGATGGAGCCTTAAGGGGGATACCCACAGTTAGTGTACTTGACCAGGGTGAAGTTCCAGCAGAATTGACTGATAGTTCTGGTGGCTTGACTCTATACGGCCCTAAATGGAATATCCATACGCTATGACTGGCCTTCCGGGTGGAAACCTCACCTTGTATCATTAGGCTTTAGCCAAGGGCTCCCCTCCACCCCATCACACCAACAAAGGGACGTATTTGTACAGAAACATTTGTAGCAGCTCTTTTTGGTAAATTGGAAATTGAAGGGATGATCATTAATTGGAGAATGGCTGAATGAGTTGCAATGATTGTGATGGAATACTGTTGTGCTATAAGAAATGAGGAGCAGGCAGACTTCAGAAAAACCTGGAAAGACTTACTTGTATGAACTTATAATGCTGAGTGAAGTGAGCAGAACCAGGAGCACATTTTATACAATAACAGCAATATTGTAAGGATGATTAGCTGTGAAAGACTTAGCTACTCTGATCAAAACAATGACCCAAGACAGTTTCAAAGGACCCATGATGAAAAATGCTATCCACTTACAGAGTAGTGATAAACTCTCAATGCAGATTGAAGCATATGTTTTTAACTTTATTTTTTTAGTTTTTTTTATCTGTGTTTTCTTTTGCAACACAGTCAATATGGAAATGGACTTTGCATGACTTCACATGTATAATTAATATCAAATTGCTTGCCTTTTCAAGGAAGCAGGAGGGAGGGAGATAATTTGAAACTCAAAAATTAAAAAAAAATTAATGTTAATTTTTTTACTTGTAATTGGGAAATATTTAATAAAATAGAAATATATTTTTAAAAAGGACTTAAGTGGTCCAAGGAACTAAGACTCCAACTGTTGAAATAACTTCCTAAGTCATAAAAACCAAATTCATGAGCAGTCAGGGCTTCTGAACCTTAATCCACTTCGCGTTGCTGTAGAATTCAGCATGCCCTTCTGACCAGGTGTGCCATTATGGCAAATATAGAGGTGCTGTGCCATGCTGTTCTTGAACAAACTTTTTTACATTAAAGATTTTATGGTTTGAGACTGCGCTCATGCCACCAGACTGGTTTGAGCCAACCCTGGCACAGAACACCTTGATTTTGACAGTTACCTTTTTTATCATTTATCTCTGTTTTTGTGTGGAGTGTATGTGTATGTATACTTACATGTGTGTATGTGTATATGTATGTATATATTATATATATGCATATATAATTGATGTAATTATAAATAATATACCATTTCATGAAGCAGGTCCTCAAAGAGTCTCTGCTAAGCACTAGTTTTAGTAATAACAATTCACATTTATATAGCACCTTAAAGGTTCCAAAATTGCAAGTGCCATTGTCCTCCTTTTACAGATGGAGAAAATGAGTCTTTGGCGGATGAGATGAATTTTCCAAGATCGATAGCAACTGACAAGTGTGTAAGGCAGAATATTCTAGTTCAGTTAGTACTTGCCATTTCTTGAACTTAGTGTAAATTGCAGTATGTATTTAAAAGTATTAAAACTGCATTTCTTTTGAAAATTATTTTCTAATTCAAGCTCTTCAAATATAGGATCTTAGATTATTGGATTGGATAGGGATATATTGAATTGGTAGATCCTAGAATTTTGGATTGGTATTGGAAGTGGATATAGTGGTCATTTTCTCTGTTCTTACATCTTGTTCTACACTGATTGTCCTCTTTATTATGTTGAATTAGTTGAATTTTATTGTTGAAATGTTTTTTTCTGGAAATATGAAATACTTATTTTAGCTAGAAAGCAAATCTTTGTATAAAGTATTCATTCTTAAAACTTATTTTCTTCATTTTATAATTTATTTCATGCTAATAATTATATAGGATTAACTTTGCATTAATTGAATGATAAGTATGAACAAAAAAAGCTGATAGGCATATGTCATGTCTTTTATAGGTGTGTTCTCCTTCCTCTTTTGGGAATGAAGCCACCCCAGCAGAGTCTGTATCTGCTTGTGGATTCTGTGGATGAAGGTTGTAATATTGCTGAAGGTGAACAGACTTCGGGCTTATCTGGGACTGTGGCAGAGCTGTTAGCTGGTCACCATGAATTCTTTCCACCTTGGCTGCTACTTCTCTGCTCTGCTCGCAAACAGAGTAAGGCTGTTACCAAAATGTTTACAGGTGAGTAAACATATTTTGATTTATACTTGTCATATGTGTTATATAATTTCTTAATAATTTGAATTCAGAATATTAACGCTGATTTATTGTATATTTTATTGATACCAAAATCGTCCTCTGGTGCCTCTCCTGGCATGTAAAAGTGACCTTGGACTCCTGAAGACTATGAATAGAACAGAAGCTTTGCTAGATCTTACCAGGGTGGAGGAGTTTCAAGTACCCATCTCGGGATGGGCTGGGTGTCTTTTGACCAAGTGCTAACCTGGCTAAATTGCTAGGGTGTTATTACCAGTTTGGCCACAGAGCAGCATGGTGTAGGGGAAAGAGCACTGGGATTGAAGTCAAGACTGGTTTTAATCCTCCAGCTTAATTTTACTATCCCTGTGACCTTAGGCGAGTCGCTGCCCCATTTTGGGCCTCTCTTTCCTCATTTATCAAATGAGGAGGTTGGAGGAGATCATCTCTCAGGTCCTTTTCAACTATAAATATATATTCTCAAGTAACGAAGGATGAATGTTTGTCCTCAACTTTTGAAGATGATGACAGAGGAGTTTGTCATTTGCATTGATTGAGAGATTATGAACTCACAAAGTTGTAGTCCCTTAAAAGTAATAACAATTTTTATGTGAAATGAGTATATATGTACTTACTGGTATGTGTCAGTAAGTGTTGATGATAACCCACAGAGAATGCCTCTTTCATAGAAGCAAGTTCAGAAATGGTCTGCTAATCAGGCTATAATCAGCCGTCATTTCTATCTCATTCAGCTTTTAGCTATACCAGAGAAACAAGACGAAATCAGCAAATATTTGTTGAATGGCTGCTATATGCAAAGCCTTACTGTGCTGTCAAGGATATAGAATTCTAAGACAAAAGCCCCTCAGTCTAGTTGGGTATAGAAGGTATAAACTTATGAAAAATTTAACAGTTGAAGATTTCAGTAAAACCTTACTAATTCGTCATGCATTCCTTTGTGGATTTTGAGTAGTTAGACTAATCATTAGACTGTGAGCCCTCTGAGATCAAGGGCTAGTTTTTTGTTTTGTTTTTCTTTTTGCCCTTTTTTTGGTGTCTGCAACACTTAGAATAACCTGGCATATAGTAGGCACTTAGTAAGTTCGTGTTGACTGACTGATGAGGGCAGGAAATCACATTGTATAATTTGTTTGTAATACCTTCCAAAGCAGTCAGTCAATCAGTCGGTCAATAAACATTTATTAAGTGCCTTCTGTGTAGCAGGCACTATGCTAAGCGATATATGAAGCAAATTTAATAATGTTCATTGGCTGCTGTTCCCAGGGAAAGCTCTAACTGTTCTTTGACATACGAGATCATGTAAGTTGAATGGGACCTTAGAAATCATCTAGCCCAACCTCCTCATTAGGAAACTTGACCTTTGAAGTGGAAATGACTTGGCCAAAGTCATATTAGCATGAAGAATCTGTATTTTAACACAGGTCTTTTGATCCCAAGTTCAGTGATGTTTTCATCTAGGAAAAGCTCTTTCATAAAATTACCATCTTTCTACAGCACGCATTCCTGTTTAAAACAAACAAACAAACAAACAACACTAGAAAGCACAGGAATAAGTGGAGCTTTCATTGATATGAAAAGTTGTTTAAAACCAAGTGCCATCATTGTCTGCAATGGGGATAAATGAGAGGCCTGCTAAATAGGTCAGGAGTAAAATCAAGGATGTTCATTTTCATTATTATTATTTAGTATAGTGCTAGGAATTCCAGTTATAGCAAAATAGAAGAGAAGGCAATTTAGGGAATAAGTATAGGAGAAGAGGAAGTAAATTGATCTCAACTCTGTGCAAATGATATGATAGTTTACTTAGAGAATCCTAGAAGGTAAACTGAAAAACTAATTAAAATAATTAACATCTTGAGCAAAGTTGCAGACAGTAAAATAAGTCCACACATCGTAAACATTTCCATATATTAACAACAAAATGCAGTAGGAAGAGATAGAAAGGAAAATTCCATTTGAAGTAACAGCAGATAGTATCATGGGAATCCTCCTGCCAAGACTCACACAAGAATTGTATCAAGACAATTACAAAACACTCTACATTAATAGCATTTAAATAATTGGAGAAATATTGATTGCTTATGGCCAGGCCAAACCAATATAATAGCATGAATACATTTTGCCAGTCAGACTACTGAAGGATTATTTTGTAGAGCCAGAAAAAATTGTAAGAGAATTCATCTAGAGGAACAAAAGCTTAAGACTATCAAGAGATTTAATGGGAAAAAAAGTGGGACAGAAGGGGCCTCACAGTGCCATACCTCCAGCTGTAGTGCAGAGCTGTGATCATCAAAATAGTTTGGTACTGGGTAAGAAAGAGAGGACTTGATCAGATTAGTTACACAATATACAGAAGCAAATGAACATTATAGCTTTGTGGAATATCTCACCTTTTGGAGTTAGACTCATTTTTCACCAAAAATGTTGAGAAAACTGGAAAGCAATCTGGCAGAAACAAGGTATAAACTAGCATCTCACACCATGTACCAAGACATCCTCCAGACGTGTACATTAATTAGATGTAAAGGGTGGCATCATAAAACAGACAAAAAAGAGCACTGAAGAAATTACCTTTTCAGATCTGTGGATAGGGGAAGTGTTCGTGACCTAACAAGATAGAAAGGTTCAGAGGAAGTAAAGTGAATATTTTTGATTACATAAAATTATGCAGACAAACAATACCATTTTAGTTAAAATTAGAAGCAGGAAATTTAGGGGGGGAATCTTTGTACCAAGTTTCTCTAATGTTTCATTTCTAAGATTTTACATGAAATTGATTCAAATTTATAAGAATAAGAGGTATTCTACAATTAATAAATGGTCAAGGGATAAGAATAGCAGTTTTTAAAAGAAAAAATTTAAAACTATCAACAGCTATATGAAAAATGCTTCAGATCACTGATAATTAATGAAATGCAAGTTAAGGCAACTCTGAGATTGCACCTCATACTCATCAGATTGTCAGGGATAATAAAAGGGAAAATGACAAATGCTGGTGGAGCTATGCTCCCACAAGGAGCAGGGGGTGGAGGGGGGGAAGGGGGGAGGGGGCAGGTACCAGCAACTAGCTACAGGTTATCATAGGTACATGGATGCACTGCTGGTGGAACTGTGAACTGGCCCAGCCATTCTGGAAAGGAATTTGTAATTATGCCCCTAAGCTAATTAAACTGTGCATATTCTTAGACCCAGCATTACTGCTACTGGTTCTGTGCCACAGAGAGTTCAAAGAAAGAGGAAAAAGATCTATGTGGTGGCAAAGAATTGGAAACTGAAGGCATGCCCATCAATTGGGGAATGGCTGAGCAAATTATGGTTTATAAATGTGGTAGAATACTGTTATGAGGTAAGAAGTGATGAAAGGGAGGATTCACAGAAGCCTGACAAGACTTGTATGAACAGAGTGAAATGAACTTAGATTCACAGTGAAATAGACAGAATCAGGAGAGTAATTTATCCAATGACCACAGTCTTATACAGACAAACAACTTTGAAAGACTTAGGAACTCTCATCACCACAATGACCAGCCACAGTTCCAGAGGCCTTATGATGAAACATGCTGCCTTGCCTCCAGCTGGAGAGCTGGTAGACTCAGGAGTGCAGTTTGAATATTGTTTGTTTTGTTTGTTTTCTGGCATGGCCAAAATGGAATTTGTTACATTTGCGGCCGGTTTTATTTATTTCTTTCTTCTTGGTGGAGATGGGATGGAATTTGAAACTGAAAATAAAATTGAATTGGGAAAAAAAAAGAGAAACTCATTATCTGAGTGGCACCTATTCAAACTTAAACCCCACTCCTTGTCCTCCCCGCCCCAAACACTTACTAAGAGTTGTCTAGGAGAGCTCACATGCCAAGGGGCATAAAGTTTACTCTCGACCAAGGATTCCTGGCTCTGGAGTCTGGTGCCAGTGGTTGTTCCCTCTTTATGTACATTTTACTTGTTCAAGTTGAGTGGTTGAGTAGTACTGTGCAAAGATATTTGGGGCGATGTAGTAAACCAAAAATAATGGCTTATTATCCCGTATCCATTTGCTTCTGACAAGCAGTAGTCATTCTTACCATTAGTATGTGCTTTCATTTGTTTATCTTTCCAAGAGTGAACCTTGAATAGACTTTGTATTCTTCTCTTAATCACTAAAACGACAGTATTATCATCGTACAATTTACAATTGGGTAACAAAATGAACAGTAGTGTTCTCTGGCCCAGCTATTCTCTGATAAGATATGGAGAATAATTCATTATACCTTTCCAGAACTATGTCATTGTCTCTGTCCCTCTGTCTCTCTCTTCTCCTCTCCTCTCCTCTCCTCTTCCTCTCCTCTTCCTCTCCTCTTCCTCTCTTTCTCTCTCTGTCTCTCTCGCTTTCTTCCTGAGACTTTCCAAGTCCTATTTTGTAATCTAACCAAAAGCCTGAATTCAAATCCCACTTAGGCTATTCACTGTTTATGTGAATTTAGACTAGACATTTAACCTCTCTGGACTTGGTTTTAGTCATCGTTAAAGGGAGGAATTAGGTCTTTGATTAATCAACAAGGATCTTTAAGTGCCTGCTGTCTGTGTACCAGGAGCAGTGCAAGCCTAGTGCGTGTGCCAAGAACAAAATAAAGTCGTCCTTGTCCTCAGGGGAAACAACATATACACATATAAGTTATGAATACAGGATAATTGGGGGGAGAGGCACTAGCAGCTAGATGCAGGGAATCAGGAAAGGCTTCATGTAGGAGATGGTGTTTTAGGTGAGCTTTAAAGGAAACTAGGAGTTTGTTGGGGTGGGAGATGAGGAGGAGGTGCATTTTGGCTTTGGTGCAGTCTGCAGAGGAATAGAAATGAGATGAAATATTGTGTATGAGGAACAAACAGCAAGAAGACAAGTTTGGCTGAGGTGTTGACCATGTGAAGGGGAATAATTTCTAACAAGGCAGAAAGATAGGTTGGAGCCAGATTGTGAAGGGCCTTGATTG